TCTATGCGAATACCACTATTTTGATTGGTGCTCTTTTTATCTTGAGCAACTGTGTAAAATGTATTCCCATTTATCTCGTACCCTTGGTACGTGAGGATATGCCACGATGGCTGCCAAGCCAACAAATCTGATTGCTCATCAATATTGTCATCGCCTTGACATTCTTTTCGCAACCAACCACTGAAACTTTCCATGTGTTGACGCCTAATCCAAGCTTCGGTCTTCCTCGGAAACTTGGATCGTAAGAACTCCTTATGTATCTCGATGTACGGATGCACCAATGACGAGTTCTCAAGAAGCTGTGTAGTGTGCTTTATTGAAATAATCGTCTTCCATGCCGATATATATTTTTTCTTCCTAAAGTTCCTTTACCATTGAGTCTCCCCTCGTGCCGTGATTCGAGAACGCCAATCGGGCAAGGTCGAAATAAAGTCAACACAGAACTCAATGACCTCCTCTGTTTCCATAGCCCCAGGCGATGCTTCCTTCGAGCTTAGAATGGACTTTCACATATTTCTTCAAGACTCCCATAAACCTCTCGAAGGGGAACATGTTATGTAAGAACACAGGTCCAAGAATACTAATCTCCTTCACCAAATGAACTAGGATGTGTGTCATGATATTAAAGAAAGATGGAGGAACACCAACTCAAAGTCGACAAGACATTGAACCACATCATTACTCAGAGAGTAGCTAGTTCCCTTTGGATTGATTGCCTTCTGAGAAATTACATTGAGGAATGCACATAGCTTCACGGTGGCTAGACGTACATGTGGAGGTAGAATTTCTCTTAAAGCAACTGGAAGCAATTGCGTCATAAGCACGTGGCAATCGTGGGACTTTAAGTTTAGGAATTTCTTATCTGGCACATTTATTATACCCTTTATATTGGAGGAGAATCCCGATGGGACCTTGATGCTACTTAGACATTCGAACATGATGTCCCTCTCTTCTTTGCTAAGCGTGTAGCTAGCAGGACTTAAGTAATGACGTCCATCATCTGTCTTCTTTGGATGAAGGTTGTCTCGTTCTTTCATGCCATGCAAGTCCTGACGTGCTTTAAGTCAATCCTTTGGCTTCCCGTACACACCCATGAATCCTAACAGGTTCACACAAAGATTCTTTGTCAGGTGCATCACGTCGATTGTGTTGTGGACCTCTAGGACTTGCCAATAGGGTAGCTCCCAAAAGATGGACTTCTTCTTCCACATGGGTGCGTGTCCCTTAGCATCTTTGGGAACAGATTCACTGCCTTGTCCCTTTCCAAATACTACTTTCACATCCTTGACCATTGCGAGTACATCTTTCCCGGTTCGGTTATGAGGCTTCTTCCGGTGGTCTGGCTTACCTTTAAAATACTTCCCTTTCTTTCTTACTTGGTGATTCAAAGGAAGGAATCGACGATGGCCAAGGTACACGACCTTTCGACATCTTTTCAAATATATACTGTCAAGGTCATCAAAACAATGTGTGCATGCATTATATCCTTTGTTTGTCTGACTTGAAAGATTACTTAAAGCAGGTCAATCATTGATTGTTACGAACAACATTGCTCGTAGGTCAAAGTGTTCTTGTTTGTACTCATCCCAGACACGTACACCTGGTTTGTTCCATAAAACTAGAAGTTCTTCAACTAGTGGCTTCATATAGACATCAATATCATTGCCAGGTTGCCTCGGACCTTGGATGAGGATCGACATCATAATGAACTTCCGCTTCATGCATAACCATGGAGGAAGGTTGTAGATACATAGAGTAACTGGCCAAATGCTATGACTAGTGCTCTCCTCTCTAAAAGGATTCATACCATCTATACTTAAGGCGAACCTTAAGTTTCTAGCCTCATTTGCAAACTCTAGAAATTCCCTGTCTATCGCTCTCCACTGGGACCCATCAGCTGGATGTCTCAGCATATTGTCTACCTTACGGTCTTCTTTATACCACCGTAACAACTTTGCATGGTCTTTATTTCTGAATGAACGTTTTAAGCGTGGTATTATAGGACCATACCACATAACCTTGGCAGGGATTTTCTTTCTAGGACGTTGTTCACCCTCGACGTCACCAGGATCATCACGCCTGATCTTATACCGCGATGCTTTACATACCGGGCATTCATCCAAATTCTCGTATTCATTGCCATGGTAGAGGATGCAGTCATTAGGACATGCATGTATCTTCTGGATTTTTAATCCCAAAGGGCAGACAACCTTTTTTGCTTCGTACGTAGTGGTGGGCAATTCATTTGGCTTTGGAAGCATCTTCTTTATGAGGTTCAATAAATTCTCAAATGCCTTATCGGATACACCATTCTTTGCCTTCCACTGTAGCAATTCCAGTGTTGTACCCAGCTTTTTTTGCCCCTCTTCGGCCGTTGGGTATAGCAACTTCCTATGATCCTCAAGCATGCGCTCGAACTTAACTTTCTCTTTTTCACTTTCCCATTCTTGTTGTGCATCACGAATGGCATCGCCAAGAGCATCACCGAGATCATCTTCTACCGCTACCTATTCTTTATCTCCCCCCATTGTAGTATCATCAAAGGCACCATACTGAGCAATAATGTCATCAATGTCTAAATCTTCTCCTTCACCTTCTTCCATCATGACCCCGTTTTCTCCATGCTTAGTCCAACATATATAGTTTGACATAAAACCTGACTTAAGCAAATATGAATGAAGACTCATTGAGCTTGAATATTCCTTTAAATTCTTACAAAGGGCACATGGACAGCACATGAAACCATCCCGCTTATTTGCCTCGGCCACACCTAAGAAATAGTGCAAGCCCTCAATAAAGTCTTGGGAGCGGCGATCGGCATTGTACATCCAATAGCGTGACATAATCTGTATTACACGACAAATTATGAAAACCTTGAACATAATTAAGTATTTTATTACACAACATAAATGACACACACACGGTTGATTAATTAACTAAGCCTGGCTACAACGTAAGCAATCCCAACTATCACTAAACAAACTAAAACTACAATGCACTTCAGTAACATAATTATTTCGTGATCGTACGCAACTAAAACAGATAAATCATTCTTCTGTTGAATATCAATAAGCTTCTCCTGCTGGCTCACTGCCTCATCAGCAGCAGCCGAATTCTGCACGTATGTAGCATAATCTTCCTCCCAGTACCAACCATCGCATCCATTGCCCTCCCACTGAAATTAAAGCCAAAAAATATTTAGTCAAAAATATTCAAGAAAAGCGGGTCAATTAGCCATAATAATCAAATGCGTAAGAAACTCACATCGCGATCCGGACACTTGTAGAAAACACGACCCTTGTTGGGTCCCTGTCTCTTGACTCGGTACTCCATCACAATCTTCTGCTTACACTTGCCGCAGATAATGAGAGGGAGTTCTGGCCTCAGTCGTTTCACAACCGAACGAGAGGCCGAGGATCCGGTACCAATTGTCATCTACTTTCTATACTTATTTTTGCAAACTACTGTAAATTTCACATTTTCTAAAATAATATATTTAAACAAAACTAAAATTATTTATTTATCTAACTAAACCATAAAATATGTACCATGTATAATAGTAAAATACCAAACTATCAAGTGATTTTACTATTGTAAATCATCATGTGATTTTGAGCTAAAAATGACATAGAAATCACATAGCTCAAAAACATGTTTCAATAAATAACCATCCGTACTAGTTGACCTTGCTTACGTGATCATCTCGGCGAGCATTTCTTCACCGGACGGCAGCGTGCTTGGCCAAGGAAGAGCTCCGATTCTACGAGGAAGGGAACACGGTCTTCCACGACCGTTGCCGCTCTCCCTCGTAGAATCAAAGCTCCTCCTTGACGTCCGTTACCGCTCGGCAGAGAAAATGCTCGCCGAGATGATCACGGTCCGCAAGTTCAACTAGTACGGATTTTCTACAATTTTCTAACTATTTTCTAAGTTTTTCATTTCATGGAAAAATTAATTCTAAGATCACGTAAGCCGCCGGGGACGAGGATGGCGCGTGCTCCAGCGAGGACGAGCGATGCGTGATTTTGATGAACTAATTTAACTTTTGTTTATCCAAACATATATGCAAATCATCATGTGATTTTGAGCTAAAAATGACATATAAAATCATAATAAAGTCCAACATATAAAGTTACACATGCATCTACATCGCGAGATAAGCTACTGATAAAACATAAGAGGATTAAGTTTGTTACCTCTAAAATCGAAGAGCAACACCAATGGAGGGGGAGAGAGCAAGAACAACAGCAACCTGAAGAACAGAGGCAGTGAGTTTGAATGGAATGGCTCGGGTTCGAGGAGGAAAAAATGAGCCGGTGTATAGACCGGCATAATTAGTCCCGGTTAATGGCCAAACCGGGACTAAAGATTAATATTTATTCCCGGGGTATCACCCAAACCGACGCCACCGGTTTACCTTTAGTCCCGGTTGGTAATACCAGCCGGGACTAAAGATCCCTGCCACGCGGGCAACCGTTGGGCAGGGACCTTTAGTCCGGTTGGTATTACGAATCGGGACTAAAGGGTCCTTTAGTCCCGACAGCAAAAAAAAAATGTCGAGGCTAATATTAAATTAGAACATCGTTCTAAAGTCTGTTCTCTCGTAGTGGTAGGAATATTAATATCAGCGCCAGATCGACCTGTTCCAGGCGCAGCAGCAGCAGCCAACCGCAACCGAGGCGAACGAGCACGAGCACGAGCAGCAATCGGTTTGCGGATCAAATCATATCTGTTAACTTGTTGATCGATGACGGATCGGAGTCGGGTTGGAGACGTACTTGGAGTTCGATTCATGCATATGCATATCCCCCGGATCGGATCCCCACTACTACCCTACCATAAATTATATACATACGCACGCACAAAGCACGGCGATATCAACCAACCGCTCTCGATCACAAGCTCCTTGAGATCGATCGATCTAGTTCGCCGGCCTGCTCTTTTCCAAGTTCGAACGTATAAATCGCTCACCGATCGAGTCGACACGTAAAAAGGCGGCCATGGAGGACGACTGGATCTTTCTTGGTGACGGCACCGGCAGCGGAACCGACAGCGCCTCCGCCTCCGACGACGACAGCGGGTTCACGATCGTGCGGCGGGGCCGCAAAGGCGGTGATCAATGCAGCGTCGTCGTCAGCGACGACGGGCCGGCGCTGCCTCGGGTGGCGGCCGTGGCCGTGCCGCAACCGACGCCACCGGGGCTCTCCTTCAAGGTGGTGTCCTACGCCGAGGCGTTCTCGGCCTCGGCCTCTTCTTCCTCTGAGGACGGTGGCGGCCGCGAGCTGATGCCCGGATGCAACGACGAGGCCACCGCCGGGAAAGCCATCATCCAAGGCGCTGGCATCGACGACGCGGCTGGAACTGGAAGCACAGACGACTGCACGGTGACGTGCAAGGAGGGATGCGAGTCTGGTCAGGTTGCCGAGCACGATGGCACGGGGAGCTCTGCCGAGGCGCCTTCGGTAGCCGTAGCGGCCGCACCGGCGGTGAATTGTCCGGAGACCACTGCTCCTGTCTTGTACGGCGAGGCGCACCCGGAGTTGGCGAGCGGGATAGACCAGGGTGGTGCTGAGGAGGTGGAGGATGAGGACTCCGAAAGTTGTGAAGAGGATGACGACGACGACACGGAAAACTCTAGCGAGGACGAGGAGGACACGGACAGCTCTAGCGAGGACGAAGACGAGGACACGTTCAGCTCTAGCGACGAGGAGTACACAGAGAGCTTTAGTGAGGAGGAGTACACGGCGGAGATCTATAGTGAGGAGGAGGAGGAGGAGGACAATGACGCAGAATCCTCTGGCGAGGAAGAAGAGGAAGAAGGCTCGGAGAGCTGTGTCGAGGTGGATTACGTGGAGAGCTCTGCCGAGGAGTCGCATGACGCGGACAACACTGGCGGGGAGGAGGACGATGACTCGGAGGTATCTGGCGAGGAGCAGGAGGAGGAGCACGATGACGCGGAGTGCTCTGACGAGGTGGATGATGTGGAGAGCACTGGAGAGGAGGAGGACGCCGAGAGCACTGGCGAGGAGGAGGGCGACGATGACCCGGAGATCTCTTGCGACGATGACGTGGAGTGCTCAGGCGAGGAGGATGACGTAGAGAGCTCTGGCGATAAACCAGCCGATCCTGAGAGCTCTAGCGCGGACTCGGATGACGACGCCGAGAGCTCTGGAGAGGAGGAGGAGGAGGAGGAGACAGGGTGAGCTCTGGCGAGGAGGAGGAGAGCAGTCACGTCGTTGATGTAGCGGAGAACGGCAAAAAAGACATCTTTGCCATGCTGTTTCCCAGGGCTACTGCGGCATGCGACGCCAACGCAGAGCAGGGATCGGCCAATGCCAACGGGGCAGTGAAGGAGCGGTCGGAGTCCTTTCCTAGCAAGTACTACGATGACATGGATACCGACAGTTCTGGTTCTGACATGGATACCGACAGTTCTGATTCTGGTTCTGACATGGATACCGACAGTTCTGACATGGAAGATGACGATTGCTTGGAGTCTGATGAGGAAGATGACATTGCTGATGTAGCAGAGAACGGCAACCAACACATCTTTGACAAGCTGTTTCCCAAAGCTAAGGCATGCGGCGCCAACATGGACGACTATGAGGAGGAGGAGGAGGAGGAAGACGGGTCCTTGTTTGACATGCTGTTGCCCAGGGACTGTGCCATCGACGACGACATTGACAGTTTCGACGGGGAAGACGAGGCTGCTACTGCTACTGTGACATGTGCCTACAGCGCTGAGCCGAGCCACGGAACCCGGCGGCCGGAGTTTGCTGTTCGCGCTGCTCGCGGCTACGACGACGTTGATACAGATTCTGACATGGAAGATGGAGACGGTGAGGTTGCGGCTGATGTCAATGGGACAAGCCTCTACGATTGGCCAAGAGCAAGAGCCACGACCGGCGGCGGCATCGAAAGCCAGTGCTGGGGATTTGCTTGCCAAAGTCAGACGGAGAGGCAAGCGTTGTGGGAGCGGGAGGACCTGCGGCGGGTGCTGAAAGACCTGCGGCGGCAACTCGCGGCGGAGGCGTTCGAGTCGTCGGGGCAGCAGCAGCAGCGGAGCTACGACGACGTTGACGACACTTGCGACGTGCCCGGCACAGCGGCCCCGGGTGGTGGTCCGGCGGGGAGCTTCACCTGCGCGCCGACGCCGGAAGCCCAGTTCACGGCGCGGTCGGTGCGGGACACGGAGCGGGAGCTGGCGATGGAGGAGGCGAGGCGACGGGAGGCCGCGCAGCAGGAGCTGGACCGCGCGCTGGCGAGAGAAGCGGCGCCGGCCGCCGAGGCATTGGCGTCGGCGTTGGAGGACTGCGCCACCGCCGAGCGGCAGGCTACTGGCGACGTCACGCGGCCCGCCGTGGCAAAGCGTGATGTCCCGGCCGACTTCACCTTCATCATCGGCGTTTATATGTTCGTGTTTCTTGTGGTTTCTCTCTTGTCGCTTGCGTTGCCAAGTAACTGATGTTCTTTAGATGCGGTGCTGCCAACGTCAGACGGACTAGCACTGCTGTTATCTCATAATTTAGACTGTAACTCGATGGTAAAATATGGTTGGTTAATTTTAATTCAATTCAATTCTGGGCAATGTCACTGGTTGGTCTGCACGTATACTTTTATATCTTCACCTGTTTCCAAGTGAAAAAGAAGGTCCAGTAAATCAGCCTTCGGGAGATTAAATATCAGGCACATGATCTAGGGATGAAAACGTGACGACGGCAGCCCTAGTGGCTTGGATGCGACAGACTTGTCCGGCTCCCGGGCCTCCGGCTACTTCGTATTGGAGTCTAGCCGCTAACATTTGGTCATAACAATATCGTTAGTATGCTTTCATGTGTTCTCACGCTATTGTGCAATTGAATGGCGAAAACGATCCCATCAGAAACTTCAGATTCCAGGAAACTATACACCAATAAACTGTTTCCAGAATGGTCAGAACCAAGCACTGCAATATTCCATAATGCAAATGAAACCAGCCTCCAGTTTCGCATAAAATCCGCCCAGCAACAAACATTATACGATTTTTTAAGTACAACCAAGTCTACTGAAGACCAAACCCTTTGCCAGTTGCTCAATTTGAATTCTCGTCACTTCAGCCGCCAAACTGTGACAGGGAATCATCTGCTCTACTAATATAATAACCATCTTCAGGAAGCTCCTGCACTATGAGAAAAATTCCGTGCTAAAAAGGTGATGCGAAGTGTAAGCTATGTGCATCAGTAAACCAATTGGTCGCCTTTCGTAGCTCAACACATATATACCAGTCTGCTATATGCCATCTACTCGTCAGCATGCACGATCTCACCCATCATGATACGTGTGCTCTGAACATTGAACCCCAAAGCTGACGAGCTCAGCTTTTTACCTTTCTTCCCCTTCTTCTGAATGTCCAATGCAGCAGATCTTGTATTGACCATGGAAGCTCTGGCCCTGCTCGGAGGTGATTGGAGTCCCGGACTGGTTATGCATTACAAAGAACATAAATATCTTGCAGCGGATCAAAGAATGCATGAGAAAAACAAGGCTTATAGCAAATCATAGATCGCTCTATGTTACTTGACTTGATTATGAGTATCGATAAATCCAACTTGTTTTATCAATAATCAATCCATGTCTGAGATTAACAGTACAAAACTATATGCAGTAATATAACCTGAGACTGAGAATTCATATAATTTAGTGCTGGAAACCAAACTAATATGTTTCGTCATTGCAGCTTTGTGCCAAGTCAAACTTCTCTAGGTTGGACCAAATTTGTAGAAAAATGCTAAAACATCAAACAAGATTCATTCGAAACACCATGCTGTATATTTTGATATTGCATTTATTTTTGTAGATGTTAATATATCATTAAGCTTGCTCAAAGTTAGACAAATTTCACTCGGGACAAAACTAAAACGACTTTCTAACGGAGGGAGTAGCATACAAATATCAAAATACACACAAGCTACTTCACAAACAGTAATGGGTTAATGGCAGCTATACCTTGTGTATATCGACCTGACAAAGCAAATCGGCATAAGCACCCCACAATCTATGCATAATGAGGACTTGAAAAGTTTGATATTCTAAAGTTAAACATGTTACATCAAAGTGTCCCTATTTAGTTCCGACCTGGTAGAACAATACCCCTTTTACCCTTTATACAGAGCAGAATATTGCACCTTACCCATTGTTCACCTAAACGGCCGTTTAGCCCATTCAAAGTTCAAACACCATTTTTAGATGCTACAAGGTGGCCAGCCTGTGTCTATTTAAAATGTTTAAACGGCCATTTAGCCCGATTAAATGGCCATTTTGCTCAATAATTGTCTAAGCAGCATGTGACTGACTGATTACATTTAGGTGAACATTTACTTTTAACCATTATATTTCTATTACCACATATTTGGGAAATATACAAATTACAGTATTGTGGAAGTAAGAAGAATTTACTAATACCATTTTCGGATATCTGAATGACATTTTATTTTTAATGAAATTGCCAACAGATTGTGTCAGACCAAAGAAAGTTGTAAATTGTGTTGTTGAAAGATCAAAATCATATTGCATACACCTCAATCTTGAAAAAATATTTTTTTAAGTCAGTACAGGTGCAAGGACACATCATGCATGTTACTGCATCCATTATAGCAAGTTTATATAACAGATAAAACATACTCAAAATCAGAGAGGATATGTAATGGATGTGAATAACAAATTGTAGTACTGACAAGTCCATGCACATGATGGACTGTCTATTAAACAAACTCTTGTCACGCTCAACTTAAACAGAAATGGCTACAGTGCAATTTAATGTATATCAGTCATAAGTTTGCTTGCAAAGGGTATAAGCTTGGCAAGAAGGCCCATTTTTTCATTAAAAAGAATGAAGAAAAGCTGACAAAGTTTAGCCTGTAGTTAAGAACATACTTATCTTTCTTTGCATGCTCACAAGACTCCCAAAACAGATCCTCTTCAGAATTAGGAGTGGAGTGACTGGAAACATGAGAAGTCATTTTGAGGAGTTCATTACCCCTCAATGGAGGTGATTCAGAACCTTGCCAGGATGAATTGTTCCCATGACTATGCTGGTCCATAGGCCGTTTTGCATGGGATGATGCTGGTACTAGTTGCTGAAGATTACCTGATTCCTGTTCTTCTTCCATCTGAATATTTCTCAGAGAACATGATTCACGTACCAGTGCAGCGTCAGTAGCTGGGCCAGGTATAGCATTTGCAAGTGGTGCTGGGTTTTTAACTGCAGAACCTTTGGATTTCTCCCCCCTGTTCCTTATCTTTCTTGTGCCCTTGAACTCAATGAAATCAGCACCATCAAGAAGATGAGCATCAGACTGAGTAACAGAAGGTGCCAGAGGAGGAAAAGATGTATCATCAGCGCTATTTATGATAACAGCATCTTTATCATTCGACTTTACCAGTTCCTCTCCTGCCAATAAATCATGTAACTGACTTCTCTTACTCTTTGATATATTGACATTTTTTTTATCACACATAGGTCTAGTCTCATCTCCAAACTGTTGCCCAGAAGTTTCAGCCAAACCACCCCAAGGTATAGATAACGCTGAAGCTGCTGTTGTAGTTACTTTAGTATTTTCCAGGGCTATTTCCCTGTGTTTCCAATTGTTCCTCTGCTTGAATTTCCAACAGTGATTTAGTTCTAACACCTGGAGTAGGTTTCCATGAATGAGGATGGGTAGAAGAAATTTCCATTTCATGAACTTCATTGGAGATATGAGACACGACACTTTCCGATTTTGCAAGACCTTGACATGATTGAGGAAAACCTTTAGCTTCAAAAACAGTCACCTTGCTATACTCGTTAGAACCAGAACTCAGAGTTTTCTTAGATGGCAAGTCTACAATACTTTCTTTCCGTGAAGGAGCATCAACAACTGCAGAGCCCTGTGTGAGACTAGCAGAACATTCTTTACAAGCTGCATGACCCATCACTTCATGGGGCAGTGGTAGAGCTAGAACAGGAGCCCAACTTTCCGACAAACCAATAATTCCCGTGTCTCTCAATTTCACATTTGCATGATTATGTAGTTGTAGATCATGCATACCATGACCAGGTAACTTCTGAGCAAGTTCAAGAATCTCTTGTGTTCTTTGAAGACAAAGCTTCATATGGTCACTAGATGACAATGAAGTATGTCTTCTCCCATGGGAAGGATCATAAAGCTGCTGCATGGAACAATCATGAGGTAGAGCCTGAGAAATATGTTGCTGCTGTTGTTGCAGTTGCTGTTGCTCCTGCTGCCTGAGCTGTAGCGTGTTGTTCAATAGAGAGTATTGAGGTTGAGGTACTCCAGGCATCAGGGGTTGCAAGTGTAGCTCTGATGGCAGATATTGTTGTTGATTGTTGTTTAATAGCCGAGGATCATGAGATATTTCACTGAGAAACTTTTCTGGCTGTGTGATTTGTGAGTTCAAACAAGCCAAAGTAGGTTGATCCTGTGTTAAAGAGTAATGCTGTTGAACATCAATACCTATTTGCTGAGAGTTGTGCAGATTTTGGCGCATATTTAGTACCTGTTGAGCAAGATCTATACCACACATACCAGCTTGCAGATTTCCAGAGTCAACATTATTTGACCAAAGTGACAATCCAGAATTAGCAGCCGGTGCTTGACTTTTTCTGTAGGAAGCAGCACTGAGAGCAGGTTAATATTCTGAGGTTGGAGAGCTTCATTTGATGGGCCAACCATTTGCGGGAAGAATGTTGACTGCGAAGTTGACTGGACTGAATCTTTTTTTTTGTGACTCTGCAACTGATATGACATCAGCGTCTATTTGTACGGTGTTTTCCCTCTCTAACAACCCCTTCTGTACTTCAAGATGATTTATCCTATTCACTTTCTCATCACCGGAAACAAAGTGGTTGCCAAATGTATTGCGGCAGCATTCATTCATACCTGCAATCAAAATAAAATAGCAATCACATCATGACTGGCACAACATAAACAGACAAAGATAAGAAAATGTCAAGAAATGGGCATAAAGAATGGTATTGATGAGAAACAAACCTCCAGTAACAACGTTAGTTTCTGCTCTGGGATTCTGGGTTTTACTAGACACTGGAGACTCTAGAAAGTGATTTTCAGCTTCAGTTACACAGCCATTCTTGTTTATGGATACACAATCAGATGTTCCAAGATACGCTGATCCTAGATGTAAGGCCTCTGTCATACTTCTTGTTTTGGTATTGCTGAAGCCTGGAGGCACCCTTACCTTTGCCTGTAAGTGTGGCATGACATCCCCAAGTAATAAGAAAGGAGAATCACAGGGAGCACTTGAAACACGAACTAGCAAATCAATACCAAAAAAAACCAGCCTCGAACCAACCAATGATGTCATATCCAGGAAAAGGACCTTGGGTGCACCCTTTTGGGTCCTTGTAGTAAAGAGAGAGGTTTTCTGGGTTAACATTTTCACCTACACCAACCATTTCACCAACTTTAGTTCCTTGGTCCAAGACATTGCGCTGATGTCCAAATTCAGCACATGGCCCATGGATACCACCACCAATAGACTCAGATTCTTTTGGAGGAGGTTTCTCAGACTTCAAGTGTTCGCTCAAATGTGCAGCCCCAAGAATTCCTAGGAAAGACGAATATCATAGATAATACAATTTAGTAAATATAAGGTATACAAAATTATGTGGGAATATAAAGTAGTAATGCATAACATCATGGTTACAATTTCAAAGGCGAAGGGTCCCAGATGCAGGCAAAATGCATCAAGATGGGATATCTATAAATATTATATACAAAGAGTTTTTACTGGAAATCTGTAATTTCAGATGAAATAAATTGGAAGGAAACAGATTGAATAGGTTCACCAGATTTTGTTAATATGCACAGAACATTTGCTAGGGTGCAACAATCTTAAGTATATCAAAGCCTGCAAATATTATCCTATAAGGAAACATGTAGTTATAAGCTATGAGTTTTAAATGGTTGTAACAGAAAAGGAACCTCAAAAATATTCTGCTGGGTACATTCAGAGAAGTATTTTTGATAGTAAATCTGTAGGAGTTAACCACTCTCAAGCATGAGCATGTCTGTTAATACGAATACGTCTAAGTTCCAAGAAATGACTGTATTTAAAGCATAAAATACTGTATGCAATCCTGGGAAAAGTTGACACATGAGGCTGATACTAACCAAATATATTGAATTCACAATATATGCATGAGATCTATCGCATATTCGCATACCTCTGATACCAATGGTCATTTCACCACTGAAATCTTCACTGCTTCCTGTCTGATCTTCTCTTCCACCTGCATAAAAAGAAGGAAAAAAATAATTGACACATAATTCAAGAACTTCTGCAGATTGATAACAAAAGTCAGGAGCTGCTTCTCACTTAATTTCATTTGTTCTAATGCCACCACATCTGGATTACTTTTGTCATCAGAACCATCTTTGCAAGCTTTTGCCAAACTGTCTGTGATATCTCCTTTTTCAATTCCTTTCAAAATCACCTATTAACACAAGCAAAACTAAAAGATTAGGGCATCATATTATCATAAGATCTTCCTATGCCAGTAAAGACAACATAAAAGTGAAAATTACCACTTCTTCAGCATTAGGTGCAATGAGAGCTAAAGGATCCATAGGATCTTCTTGCCACAATGAAGATATCTCATCGTTATCAATATCATCTATCGGCATTACAAAGTTTCTAACATAAGTTGTTCTGTATATTTCAAACAATTTTATCCTGCTATATCTCACAGAGTTTCTAGATGGGCCACCAGGCCTGTCAGAAAGTACACCAAGATGGAATGGGTGTGAAGATCGACTATTGACTCTGCTTGTAACAGATGTAAACCTTCTGTGAGAACTTGTAGAGTTTGGGCTATCACTTTCCTGCCCATAGCTACTGTGTCCAAATGAAGCAGATAACTTCTGTGGATCTGGGGAAAGATGATCAGATGTACCTCCTCCTGCACCACGGCTCGCAAAATAGCTGGAGTTCCACGATCGAGAAATATTACTGTCCCTTTCATTAACCTTCTCGTGATTGCTACCATCTTTTTCTTTCCCATGACCTGTACTGTGAGAAAAAACTTCTTCACAGGGAGCATCATCTTTTCTATCTGAATCTGTTGACCTTTCACGCCAATTTTCAGAATCTTTACTACCGGGAACCCAGCGAGAATTCCAGTTATTATCACGGCGTTGGTCATAGTTTCTCACGTAACTAGGTGACCTTACCCAGCGCTCTTTTGGACTCAGGTGGCTATCAAGATACTGCTTGGTGTCATCACGGTGCCGTTCCAGTCTGTTCATATTACTATGTTCTTTTTCCATTTCCCTCCATTGAGTTCGATGGGAATCTGAATTCAGTCTGGTGTCTTCATTGAACCATTGGTCACGGTGGCCAGTTATTCTATCAAACACAGAAGGCCTGAAAACATCTCTTTTCTTTCACGTATTGTTCCTTTCTTCACTGTTTCCTGGCGTGTTTGCAGAGTTAAAGTGGATATCATGTGAACCAGGCTCCTGCAACAAATAAATGAAAATATTAGAATACATCACTAATACAGAAAGAGTAATCTGAGGGTAATAGCAATCTAAAAGCAATTCTATTATTCAGCAATCTATGTTGATATCATTTTACATAACATGGCCAGACTAGCAAAAAGAACTGTTCTACCCAATAGAAATTTAACAAGTCTGAGTTTCATAAGATCTTTCTGAGAAAGGGAGAGAAAGTGCAACTAGAAAAAACTGGTTTCGGGCCCCTCAGGAATTTCTCAGGAATTTGTTCAATTTCATGTGAAAATGCAGGAAACTGGAAAAAAATTCCGCATTCCAAAGGGGGGCTTGATCATTAAAAGAAAATGTGATGTATCCAGAGGAGCCGTGTGCCGTTTCTGGGTTTGGAATGCGGAAAATCAACTCCTTAAAATGTCTTGAATTTGAGTGGACAGGTTTCACCACAAAAAAGTCAATAAGTTGAGGCTCAATTCATAAGGCATCATAATATATGCATGGCATTTTGTTGTCTTGCGCATGCAAACTGTATTTAGTAAAACTATGCTTCGTTGCTTACAATGTGATTTATGTCACATCCATGTTCTAGTAGAGGTAAAGGCGGCGATAAGATTTTATTTTTATGGCTCATCGGCTTGTGAAAGTGTGTAGTGTCTAATATTATTATAAATCTGTACTAGCTAATGCAGCATTAAACCTGCTCTATGAGTATCGTGCAAGTCTACATAGGGTTTCTTAAAAAAACATAAATAGGATGCATTGCACAAATCTAAATACATGTTAATTAATTCAGCCAATTAAGTGCAATCATTCAACTTCTATGAACACATGGGGCGCACGTTCTATCTCTATAGACACCTAGAAAAGACTGAAATAGCAAATCATATGATTTAAAGGACATTTATGTCGACAAATACGTCTGCCCCTTACTTGCCTTTTCATAGATGTGCTTGATATTTGTGAGCCAAACATCCAATCCTAGCCCCACGTGGGGTATATGCCAATGCCACGAATGCAAGTCACTTAAAATCGGTTTATTTAAAAAGTCGCGCAAAAATCCAATCGGTTGCATTCATATTGGTTGCAAATTTGCAATCGTAATCAAACCTAATCACTCTTCGTGTTTTAATGTGATAGCTTATTTGCAAATATTGTATGTAAGAATAGAATATGATGGCTATAACGACGATGCAGGGGATGTTTGATGTCAGCCGGCACCTGCCACACCCCACTTGCGGCATAACGTGGCGCGTAGGAATTCGACACCACAAAGTGTGGCGAGACTGTTAAAAGCTTTTGTTGGGATCAGCCGTGGCTACCGAAGGTTAGTTTTCAATGAAACAATATGCAAAATAATTGTGTCGTGCTACATGTGAGACTTGGCAAGTTGAGGCAGGTAACAAACAGCTTTTTAAAGACACTGTGTAGTATGATAGTGAAAACTATAAGGACACGTACAACGCGTCCCTTATCCTCGTCTCTTTGTCGCTGGTTTTGCAAAAAACACCCTGGTTTGGCTTGGAGACAGCCATCCCGTTGCCTCGCGAGACGACGGTGAGGGCCCGTGCTCCAAGGCCCAGTTGCCGGCTGGAGCTGTGCTGTACGAGTCGTCTTCTTGACTCGACGATGCACGAGGACCCCGCACGGCCACACGCCGAATCTGGTATTAGCGCGCGCGAGGACGTTGCGCGCCCTGGCCGCCGCGAGCCGTGTGGTAGCCCATGTGCGCGGTGACCTCCGCCCCGGTCACCGCGAGCCACACGGGCGAGACCCGCACCGGCCGACACGAGCGCGCGGGCGAGCTCTACTCCGGCCACCGCGAGCACCTCGTCATCCAGAACCCCGCCTCCCGCTGCCCTCCATCGGCGGTGCCGCACGGAAATGGCCAAGCAGGCCCAGGCTCTTCGTCATCACCGCCGCAGCTCCTCGCGGATCTAGGAACGGTGAGGGTACACTTCTGATGCTTTTTCTCTTCCTGATTGTGAGCGATGTCGACGATGGTGGCTTCCTTCAGGCTAGATCTGGTGCGGCGACAATGGCTTCCTCCCATGGCGGACAGTACCCATGTGCCGTGCCGCCAGCTCTTCCCTTGGTAAAACACTAATCTTGCCTATTTCCATATTTGACTATGCAAATTTTTTGGCCGTTCTTGTTCTTGAAATAGAAAAATAGCTGCTCTGCAGTGAGTTTCAGTTATAATTCTAAGCGATGCAACTGAACTGAATATATTGGCATACATCATTTCCTGTCTGTGGTGATGCAACTAAACTATATGTAATTTTATATATATTACAATTATATATAATAATCATTTACGTTGATGATTTCAAAAATTATTGTCATCTTGTTCATCTTATTTATGCTTTGATCCGTTTTCTATCAAATAGTAACACAATGATATGGAAACAAACGAAATTAGACAAAAGGCGTTGCAACTATATATAATGATTATTATTATATTGATGGTTTTAAAAAATATTGTAATCATGTTGCTCTTATTTGTCCTTGATACATTTTCTATCAAATAGCTACACAATGATATATAAACATTTATTTATAGTTGATCCTAGCTACATGCAAAGCATTAAACAGCTTAGAGATGGACCCTCTGTCTATGGGTTGTATGACCTGTCTTTATACTTATCTACATGATAGATTCGAGGCGCTTAGAGACGGACCTCGTATGTGGGTTGTACATGCCCTAAGTATGCCGATCAAATGGTTATTAGGGAGAAGTAACAAGGGCGAAGAAGAGAATAATAATCCAGGACTGTTTAGGCCAATGTCAGCATATATACGAGCAAAAAGCATGGAACGGACCATAAAGGCGAAATGAGGATCATCACACAAAAATGGCAATAAGGTAGAACAAGATATGTGGAGAAATTAACTTGTAGCGAAATTGCAACTTGTGTGACTGTAGGATCTCTGGTACGCTTAGAGGGGGGTGAATAGGCCCGTAAAAATTTAACTCAAACCGAAGTCAAATTCACCTGCGGCACTGCCGCTCTGTGAGCACGGCACTGCCGCACCTACAGGAGAGATTAGTCCATAGTTCAAAATCTACCTAACAAAATTTAGATCGGGTAAATTTCTTAGCTTTCTGCGGTAGATCACAGATCGATCAGCTGAAAGTGGTGGGAACACCACACACAAAGTAGATCAGCCTCAAACCCTAGAAATCACCTCAATAACAACAAGAACACAAGTGTAACAACACAAGCACAAGATGACACAAGGATTTATATTGTGGTTCAGTTCGCCACCAAAGCTTGCCTAAGTCCACATTGTTGAGGTATACCACTAAAGCTTAGGGCTTTGCAACCCTACCTCATTCTCAAGTCAAGAGAGTGAACTCTTGAGATGAGGGGTGATTTTACTCGCTGCAAAGAGGTGGTTACAAACCTCCCGGGGCTGCCACAAACTTGGCAAGCTCACCAGGCGACGCTCTAGCCGGCTAGGAGCCAAGCTCTAACAAACACAACCACCGGCTAAAACGTGAACCAAATGCTCTTTAGTCTTTGGGAATCAGTGGAGCTGCTCTCTAATCACTTTTAGCACCTTTTTCTCTCAAGGATTGATGGGGAAGTCAAAGGGAAAACTTGAGAGTTTGAAGGACACCAATGGAGGAGAGAGGAGATGAGCACTGTTGATTTTTGTCGGTCTGAACCATTGAGAAAGAAGAGAGAGCCGTTATGGAGAACAGGGAAAAGTTTAAGTACCCCTTGTCTTCCAACAATTACTTAAGTGTGGTAGTACCGCCCTAAGTGCGGCAGTGCCGCACCTAGCAAGACAGCAAGGGTGAAGGAGTTATCAAGTTGGCTGTCTTGGGTGAGGTGTGAGGATGTTTTGTGTAAAGATTGAGCATTTGGTTGTAAACTTTTAACCAGTTGTAGTGTCCCCTTTATAGTACGGCTTTTTCCATACTCAAATTCAAAAGACAAAAGAATTCAAAACTTCTTTGAGCGCGATGCCGTCCTTATTTGTAATTGGGGGCTCCTCCTTCCCATGTAACATCCTCTATAATGAATTTCTTACTTGTCATCTTAATAAATCTCATTAGTTCTCTGATTAGATGGTCATCAACACCAAAACCCACATTAGGACTTGATTGCACTTACAGTGACACTAAAGGTACAATGTGATAATTCGCTTTCTAACTATAAAGATATAAGGTATGAAAGGAATGAGAGAGGCGTCGATTGTCGACTATATCAAGGATACTTGGTAGCATGGTTACGAAGAGGAAGACACATGTGTAGCGAGGATAATACTACAATGGTTGATAATTTCTTCGGGGAAAAAATATTCTCGTAGTCACAAAATTTAGCTTTTAACACTTCCCCTGTCTTCTGTGTGTCATAGATTGTAGGACCGCTGCCGTGCAACTACTTAAGTTTGGAACTCGCTTCATTTGAACCTCTTCTTTCTTTATGACAAATGGGCTATGGCTAGTCCTTTTTTTTGGAAAAGGTCCTTTGACCCTTAGCTTTCGCGGCTATCGGACTTTCTCCCTCATCTATAAAAACAGAATGTTTTACTCCCTCGACTCTTTTTATTAAAAAAAAAAGCTATTTAATTTTACACCTAGAAGATTTGGCGATGGTTTTATCCAACAAATGCCACATATATCACGCTACATTAGCCACAAGAGAATAAATCAGACTAAGTCGACAGTTTAGAGAAAGGTAAATTAGACTACAAATGATAGTTTTCAAAAAAAATCTAGATATTTTTACTAGAAAATTTATGTTATTAAAAAATCTTAGAAAATATGTAAACAGTTTCATATTTTATTTAAAACCATTCTCTATCTTCTAGTGCATAGCTTGGAGTTATTTGAATATTTCATGGCCCTATTTTGATTTTTATTTGCTAGTAGATGCTCCCGTTATCTATTAGCAAACATGTAGTATGCTGCAATGGAATGCAGAATTTGCATCATCTGTCCCAATGCTTCTTGGGATTAAACTCCACGGTGTGACTGTAGACATGCTGTTCTAAAATTATATGAGCACAAGGCATGAGTTTGGTTCATAGATAGAATAGAAACTAAGCCAAACTCTTATATCTGACTCATCATGTACTACTACTCTTAGTAAAAATAGACCATAAATAATCTTAGGATCGAAGGAGTGGAGGGATGGGTGGACGATGGAGAGAGTGACAAAATGAGAAACAGACAAAGAAATTTTCTTCTTTTAATATTTAAAATAATCCAGACTACGTAAAAGGCCACATGACTTGCGTGATACACTCCATGCTTTTCTACACGAACATGGTCATATATAGGATCAAGTGACACTAACACGATCAAACTAAATAGAATCAAGTATGAGTTGGTTACATGAGATTTGTGTCGTAACCAAAGTAACTTGAATTTTTACATAGCCCGGACCATTAACATAGACTAATTATAATAGATAACAAATACATATACTTGTATATAGCAAATAAATACCCCAAAAAAGTCCGACATAAGTTTCAAATAATTCCAAGCTACACACCATAAATGCAGGGTTATAGGAAAAATCTAAAGTTAGTTTCATGTCATTTCAAGCTATAACAAAATTTAGTTTTTTTAACTGCATGTTTTATATTTGAATACTTTTGGAAAAAGCACTTGTACTATGGTTTATATCTCTCTAAACTGTTATTATAGTGTGATTTACCCATCGCGAGTAATGTGGAGTCACATTGGATAAAACCATTTATGGTGAAAAATAAACGGTTTTAAAAGTTGAGAGGGAATGAAAAACTGATTTTATATGAGCGAGCAAAATTGGACCAACACGATGAGGGTAAAATATTTTTTCTTTTCTTTATTTATTATTTATAGTGTCCGAGAGGATTCTTGAAACAGTTGGCTAGTCATCCATCCTACGTGTCACACACACGTCCCCACAGCCGCCATGCATCCTGCAGCCTCACAACCGACGAGCTGCAGATGATGAGGCAAACACCAACCACCCGCCAAGATCAACAGCGCAAGCGCAACACATGGCAACAGAAACAAAACACACACAGGACAGGGGAGCAAAGCAGAGGAATGAAATGGCCAATGGGGGATCCTCTCCCTCCCGGCCTTGCTATTTTTCGCCGCTCGTGAGATGGCGGCGGGGTGAAATGCCCTGACGTGCGTGCGTGCACATGCCGGGGGAACGGACCCGCCGGGCCTGACCGCTGCTACGGTTCGGCGTCGTGTCCGGCCGCGGGAGGGGCGGAGCCGCGACGCCATCGGTGTCGCGGTCGCGGCTTCCTCCTCATCCCCATTCCCCCTGGACGGGCCGCGGCGCCAGTAGGGGAAGTGTGGATGTGAGCGAGCGCATCCGCGCGGCAATTGAGAGCTTGTGCAAGACTCGTCATGTCATCTAATTCTTCGACAGCCCCGCCCCCGCGGCCGGCTCCGTCGCCAAAGCCAAAAAGCAGCCCTTCTCCTTCTCATTCAACCGCCCCGCCGCCGTCAGCGGACTCGTCATCTCCGGCTCCATCACGGCCCAGCGACTCCTCGCCGCCACCAGCGGCGTCCAGGTTCCATGGCGCTCCGGCCAAGCCCCACTCTCCACGGGAGCAATCGTCTAGAGGCTCCGGCGACGTTGCCAGGCCGCCACCGGCTCCTGCGCACCGTGGCGGACCCACCATGGTGGAAATCGTTTTCGCCGCGGCCGGCGCCGCGGCGCTCCTCGTCATCCTCATCGCCGCCTGCGTGTGCTGCTCGAGGAAGACGGCGCCGAGGAGGAAGAAGAGGCCTCACAATCCCATGCATTACTACGCGGATTCGTCGTCGGTGTGCAAAGGTAAAGCACGCATCTACTCGTGGTTCTTGGTTGCTTGCTTTTGAATCTTGATGTGCTCCATGAGGGAAGAGAGAAGCAACAAATCTGACGCGCGACTAGACTTGCTTGGCGTTAATGGACACTCACCCAAATGCCATGGCAACCACAGGTAATAGCAGCATGTACTACCCGTCCGGGCCGCAGCCGCAGTGGCAGAGCGACACCGGCGCGGCGGCGGCGACGCTGAGCACCTTCGGCCCGCCGGGTGGGGGTGGCTGGCATCCACAACCGCCGCCCGACATGACCTCCGGCGCGTCGCTGCCGCCGCCGCCTCCGCACGAGGCGCTGGGGCTCGGCAAGGGCACGTTCAGCTACGAGGAGCTCGCGGCGGCCACAGGCAACTTCTCGGCGGCGAACCTGCTGGGGCAGGGCGGGTTCGGTTACGTGCACAAGGGGGTGCTCCCCGGCGGCCGGGTGGTGGCCGTGAAGCGGCTCAAGTCCGACAGCGGGCAGGGGGAGCGCGAGTTCCAGGCCGAGGTGGACATCATCAGCCGGGTGCACCACCGCCACCTCGTCTCCCTCGTCGGCCACTGCATCGCCGGCGCGCGCCGCGTGCTCGTCTACCAGTTCGTGCCCAACAAGACCCTCGAGTTCCACCTCCACGGTCAGTGACAGACTGACAGTGACAGCTCTGGCCCTCGTTGCGTTGCAACGTGTACATCTCCAAATGCCGTGGCTTGACGTACGTGTTCGCCTGTTTGGGTCGCAGGAAAAGGGCAGCCGGTGATGGAGTGGTCGACGCGGCTGCGCATCGCGCTCGGATCGGCCAAGGGCCTCGCCTACCTGCACGAAGACTGTGAGCCACCCTCCGAATTGTCATCAGCATCAGCAGCTTGGTTTGTGATGCGACCATGTCACGTCTGACTGAAACTTACATTTGCCGTGTCATGTGACCATGCATGAAGGCCATCCTCGGATCATTCACCGCGACATCAAGTCGGCCAACATTCTCCTCGACAACAACTTCGAGGCGAAGGTCGCCGACTTCGGGCTTGCCAAGCTGACGTCCGACAACACCACGCACGTGTCGACCCGTGTGATGGGGACGTTCGGGTACCTGGCGCCGGAGTACGCGTCGAGCGGGAAGCTGACGGACAAGTCGGACGTCTTCTCCTACGGCGTGATGCTGCTGGAGCTCCTGACGGGGCGGCGCCCCATCGACGACGCCGCGCCGGGCACCGGGCACCCGTTCCTCGACGACAGCCTCGTCGACTGGGCAAGGCCGGCGCTGTCGCGCGCGCTGGCCGACGGCGACTACGACGGCGTCGCGGACCCGAGGCTGCGGGGCAACTACGACCCCGTGGAGATGGCGCGCATGGTCGCCAGCGCCGCTGCCGCCGTGCGCCACTCGGCCAAGAAGCGCCCCAAGATGAGCCAGGTATTTCGACGGCAAATGCTCACCTCTTGTTTCCTTTCCACCACACCAGCGGTGGCGGTGCTGCAGCCCTGTAGCGACGGCGATGAATGACGATGGTGTTTTTTTGGGTGCAGATCGTGAGGGCGCTGGAGGGGGACATCTCGCTGGAGGACCTCAACGAGGGGGTGCGGCCCGGGCAGAGCATGGCGTTCGGCACACCGGCCGCGGCCTCGTACAAGGCGAAGGCTCCCGGGCCGTACACGTCCGACATGGAGCGGATCAGGCAGGCGCCCATGGCGAGCCCAGTGTACAGCGGCGCGGTCGTCGAGTTCGGCCGTCCCTCTACGATCGCCAGCGAGGGGTCCTTCTGCGACGATTTGAGTCCGGTGAAGGGTCAGCCACACCGGTAGCAGGCCGGAAGCAGCAGCAGCTGCTGTGAGTTGCTACGCCGTGTACGCCTGTCATGCTGGACCGTTGCAATTCATGCTCGCCGCGCCGTTGTTGATTGCGCGACCGTCCTGCTGCTTTGGCGTCTGTGAGCTGCTTATCCAATTCCCAGCGGTTGCCTGTAAGCTGTAGCGCAGCCTGCGAGCTGCTGTACGCCTGTACCTGTACATATCGACATCATCCACACGGAGTAATGTGTAGATGAACGGATACACATACGCTTGTGTATTGCAAAGCAGATCAGAGCACGCAAGAATCCACACAGCTAAAAGATCGAAAAAGGGCAGTGCATCAGTGGTACACGACGCGAATTGCATAGAGAGTAAGAACCGAGGTTGGTACTCAGGCCACAAGGCACATAAATCACGGCAGCGACAGGCTATCCAACTACCGACAAAAGCCACAATTAGGGTGTTACAAGTGCAGTTGAGTTTACATCCGTTTTATTCCACGGGTATGTATGTGGTAGAGCACCCAAAAACTTGTTTCTTTCCTTATACAAGGAGTACACAAAACCTCAACTACAGCACTGCCAAACTGGCTGTAACAACTCCCAAAAGGAAGAAAGACTTATGCTCAACCTTGCCAAGTAAGAACTCAGCAATTAGCATGTCAAACATCTGAGATATTACACCTTCGGCAGCACGGTAGTGTCATATGGGGTGGGTGGCTGGACCTACAAAAAGGAAACGGAGTTTAAGTGCTCCCAATTTTACTTTAGATATGGTCATGTTAAGAGTTTTACGGATTTTATTATGAAATGACCATAGTGGGAGGAGCGTACAGCAAGATATCGTGCAAGCAAACTTGAAGTACTGTGGTTGAAACCCTCAACAGGCTTTCCTTCCATTCGGGATTCATGCAGCTGTTTCCTCACTTGGGAAGCGAGCGACTGAAACATCAAATTCCAGAGATAACAATTAAAATCAGGACTCAACAACACAACGTTCAAACATGTGAGCACGGGAAGAAAATTATGTGGCCCATGCAGGTTGGTGGCCCAAAACAAACTGGATCTTTGAATAAAAGGAAAATATGGGAGAAAGATGAATATCACGCACATACCTTCCCTAGCTCCACTCCCCACTGATCAAACGAGTTAATTCCCCATATGAAGCCCTGAACTGCAATCCGGTGCTCATAGATGGATAAAAGCTGAAGAGCATAGGCATTGTTAATTCATCAATTGAGCACAAAATCCTATTGAGGATTGAACGACTGGCTTAAAGGATGTATTGATGATGTCCTTGTGACTAACCTGTCCAACCTCATATGCGGATAGTGTAGGCAAAAGCAAACTTAGTGATGGCCGGTTGCCCTTAAAAGTCTGTTAAAAAGGATAGCCGAGAGGGCTCAATCAGAAAACACACATATGCATATCTCTAAGTGTAATACTTATGCATCAGTTTAATTTACGTAATAAGTGAACTATCATCACCTTATGAGGGATAAGATTTTCCGGAACTTTCTCACTGTGCAATTGTTCAGGAGTCTGAAAAAAGTAGTCAGTTTCGGTAAAGAAAGCAAGAAACTGTACGAAACACATGTATGCACAAAACTTTTGTTCTAGCCATTCAATATGTACCTTTCCATAAGCAAGTGCATCAGGCTGGGCAAAGAAATTGGACATAAGCTCATCATGATTACTCACAGTTTCCCCTATAACAGATGTATATGGTAAGTGTTTTAAAAGGAATTTGTAGAGTTACATTTATTACGATGCCAACAAGAACATCAAAAGTTACAGATGTACTAGGGACATACCTTTCAAATAAACAGGCTGCTGACTTTTAACAACACCAATAAAATCGCAAGGGATGACCCTTCCCTGTATGTTTCAACACATCATAGTCAATAAATATACATATTGACAACAGATGGAAAGACCTATCCTCAAATTTTGTTTCACATGTTTTAGAAGCCTGAACAAATTTGGCAGTCTTCAACATTGCTCCGAGAAATTATCATTATCAACAAGAAAGCAATACAGGTTGAAAAAAACATGCTGGTTAACTTGAAAGTAATCAAGAATCCTAGCACAGACACATGTAAAGTGCAAGCAAGCAAAAGTTACAAAAATATCAATATGGACAGGATGATAACAGAATAGGTCAAACATATGACAAATAAGGAAATGAAGGTTATTGTTGAATGCCATCAAGATCTAACTGACAGTTCATTTCAGCAGTTCTGAGATTATGAACATGAAGTAAAATTTCCCTATGGCATACTCTCATCATATATGATATAAGTAAAGACTGTGTCTGGCACAACATAATGTAGATAAAAAAAACTCGACTAGGCGGGACTGCGCGAGAGGTATCCACCCCTAGCATTTTAATAGGTAGAAGGTGAGAATCGAACACTGGGTGGCTAGGTGACATCTCCCACTAGCCAATTTATCTTAGGGAGTCTCTCTATCATAATGTAGATCAAGCAGTACAAACCAGTTAACTAAAAACTGCAACAACTTGATAACATTGCCCAATATATGGGAGAAATATTATTACCTGATGGATTAATTGATAGAAGCTGTGCTGGCCATTAGTTCCAGGTTCACCAAAATCAATTTCACCCGTCTCGTAGGGGAGTGGGACGCCATCAATGGAAACACCCTTCCCGTTACTCTCCATGCTAAGCTTTATAACATATAATAATCATATGTCAGCATGTCACAACTAAAAAATAACCAAAAGAGAATGTCCAGATGGTACTAAAACAAAACATAGTTACCTGTTGTATATGTGGTGCCAATTTCTCAAGTGCCTGGGAATATGGCAATATTGCCTAGAATACACATTCAACAGAAAAAAAAAGTAATTACTCAGGATGCATTTTTTTAGATAATAATGGAACAAAGTTCCAGCAACTAATCTGTAGCTGCAAATAACACAGAAACGGAATAGTTGCTTACTCTAGCTGGATAACCAAGAAATGAAACATTCCACACACTCAACAAACCAAGGAGTACCTGCCCATGAATGATAGAAAATGTGAGACTGATTTTTCCAAGTATCTAAAATCATTGACTACTGTATGAAACCCACTTACAGGTATATTTTTCTCAAATGAAGATGAGTAGAAGTGGTTGTCGATGCTGGAAGCTCCCTCCAAAAATCTTCAAAAGGTAAGAAGAAAATGTCAAGATAGTACTGGTAATCTACGATCTTACTCTGAAAATGATTTTTTCTGGCTTCCAACATTTTCATTAATACTTCAAATAAGACATAGTTATTAGACTTTGTGGTATTTGATGATTTAATCCAGGCCCTATTTGGGGTTCTTAAATTATCCTAAAAACACCAAAGCAAATTTAAAGAAGATATGGTCCACTTGAGGTACAAATTTAAGGACCAACTGTCCAAACCACACCTTTCGGATGGTTTGATTCGAGGGTTTACTTGTTACAAACACAAAAACAAATCCAATACCAGACATTGATTCCAGACCTCCTACATTAATTCCCACATCCTGAAACAATACTGCGCTACGCCAACATATTTAGCATTTTGCCACACGGAATGAGATTGGATCTTCATCTACCATCGTAAAAGGTACAGAAAGAGCATGTTCCTTTGTTTTGAGGAATCAAAGAGCAAGATCTTTTTGAACGCACATTTCCCTAAGTATTCACGTATTTGCTTGTCACAAATGTCTACTCATCTTATTTTTAACTTGCAGTTGACTCTAACAGACATTGACCATAGAAGTTGTAACCTCAATATTTCTTCTAGTTTTGTTTAGAGGATGGCAATAATATTTAATAACACTATCACTCTACTTCACATTTAAGATCCGTGTTCTTATCTCAAAAGCATAAAAGGATTACCAATTCAAATTGAGTGGCATCCTACTATAATTTACCAAAGTAGGATGTAATAACTAAATATAAGTTCAGAGAGCATACTTCTGGACAATTGAAAAACCATACTGAAGAGATAACGGCAGAACACCAACAGCACTGCAAACTGCATAATTGAACTATGGTTATGAAATAGAACACTAGCTATGCCAGTAATTTTCATATGCAGAAATATCACTCACCACTGTAACGGCCGCCAACCCAGTCCCAAAAGGCAAAAGCATTGTTTGGGTCAATTCCAAACTCCTTCACAAGCTTTGTAAACAGAAATGGCACAGTAGGAAATTGATCATGTCAGAATCAAAACATTTGAGGAATAATATGAAATTTGAAATATTCTAATAGATTAGATAATGTGGTAAATATGAAATACTCCATGCATCTCAACTCAAATCTAAATATGATCCATCTTCGCACAGAAGAGGTTCAGTAAACTTTTGGTGGAAAATAGAAGGTTCAGAAGTACCTTAAGATTAGTACTGACAGCAATCATATGTTTTGCAACAGCCTGTGGCCTGAATGAACGATTTTTATAACTCAAATCACAATAAGTTGAGATGCCGTGTCAAAAAATATTTTCAGGTACTAAACTAACCCAAGAGAAGAAACGATCCACTCCTTAAGAGTCCGAGCATTTAACATTGTTTCAGCTGTTGTGAATGTCTTTGATACAACCACCACTGCAAGTTGTTAGACAAGAAATATAAAAATCTTCAGCAAATATTCATCAGTAACATACAAAGAATCTATGTTGAAGTGAGGGTAGGTGATTACCCAGAGTGGTTTCTGGATCTAAATCTTTAATGCTCCGTGCAACGTCAACTGGATCAACATTTGCAAGGCTGATAAAAATTTGAACATGAATTACTGGATGAATAGCATAAAGATTGCATGCATGTATATAATATGAAACATAGACACAACACAGTAAACAACACAATGCGTAGAGGCTGGCACCTCTGTTTTATTCCACTACTAAAAGAGGTCCATAAATAGAAGTTTTCAGAATAAGTCAAAAGAGCTCTTAAAAAGTATAGGAGATATTAATGATGTCTGAATTAAGACTCAGTTAAGTTTATTAACATCAACGCAATATTATGT